AGGGTGGTGAGGGAAGGGGTGGTGGTTCTGGGAGTTGTTTGGCCATTGGGATATCCCAACCCCTTTTGTCCCTGAAACACATGTTGCTGGAGGTCAGGGTGGTGGGGGACAGGGTGGTGGTGCTGGGAGTTGTTTGGCCATTGGGATATCCCAACCCCTTTTGTCCCTGAAACACATGTTGCTGGAGGTCAGGGTGGTGGGGGACAGGGTGGTGGTGCTGGGAGTTGTTTGGCCATTGGGATATCCCAACCCCTTTTGTCCCTGAAACACATGTTGCTGGAGGTCAGGGTGGTGGAGGTCAGGGTGGTGGTGCTGGAGGATTGCTGAGTATTGGGAAAGAATGTCCCAGCTGCTGGAAGCAGGTCCTGACTGGTGGGCCCTGCAGGGGTATTGGGTGTTTCTAAGGTCCATGAGATAAGCTGGACCCACTCACTCCTTACATGGCCTGAGGGCAGCTCTGGGAGTGGCATTTTTGCAGGCTGGGGAAGGTGTTAGCTGTTAAGATGAGTCACTGGCATCTGGCACTGGGGATGGGGGCTATCCCCATCCCCCTGTCCCACTAGCCTGCCCTGCAGCCCTTTCTCCAAGCCCAGGAATTCTGATTATCTCCTCAAAGACCTTATCTCCTGCATTTCCCAGCTCTTGTCTGGCAGGTTGGACAGCTGGAAATCTAGATATCCAGCTGAGGCACGGGCTGTGCTGCACTCTGGGTTGCTTGCAAAGCAGCTCTTTAGCTTCCCAGGAGTCACAGCACATGTAATGTTCCTCACAGCCCAGCCTGGCATTGCCACTGGGCACCCAGCTCTGCAGGGTGATGTCCAGCAGTGCAGGGTGATGCCCTGACATCAGAAAGAGGCATCTCCTCTTTGGGAGGCAGCACAGACCCAGCCTGAGGGACATGAGCCATGGCTTATGCTCAGGAAGGTGTCACCACTGTGGTCCCAGCCTGAAGTCATGGACAAGGGGATGTGGAGGGACACAGAGGGATGTGGAGGGCTGGAGTTTCTTGGTGCTCATGGTGTGTCAGGACAAGTGGCTTTTTCTCTAGAGTCACTCTTGGGAACATCCCCCAAAGGCCAAGCATGTGCAGTAGAGAAGTTGAAGTTCCCCCAGTTGATGGGGAAGACCAAGAAGCTGGGGAGGGAACGAAACCTGTGTGCAGGTGTGGCTGGGACACAGAGGGAGCTCTGCCTGGTGGGATTCCCAGGAAAAGCCAGGGCTGGGCAAGTGCAAGTGTTATCCATCTGCATGAGCCTCCTCTGCCCCTAGGGTTATGGAAACTCTGGCAGCCTTTGCCACCTGGCTGGGGCAAGGAGCCTGCCAGGACTGCTCCATGCCTCTCCTAGCACAGGGAGTGGAGGGGTGAGTGAGGGTGAGCATGCCCAGGGGCTGGGGAAGCTGGAGCCAGCAGAGAAATGCTGATGCATCACCACAGACCTGCACCTGCATGCTGCTTTCTGCACAGAACTGCCCTGTCGGCTTTTCTTAATTATATTTAATTGTCGGAGCCACCCGCTGAGCTTCTGCCCTCCCCTGCCCCAACAACAAAGTAGGGCATGGAAGAAGTAGGTCAAGAGGATGGTGGAGAAGCAGATTGCACCATCCTGGCTGTGCCAGCAGTGTGGGGCTGGGCAGGTTGGGTGAGCCAGAGGGATGTGGAGAGAGCTGGTTCGGCTGCCTGTGCCTGCCTGGAGCTGCCTGCAGCCTGTGATCGCTGGGCAGGGCAGTGCTCCCTGCCACATCGTGCCAGGGATGTTGGCATGCTCTGCCCCGTGGGCTGCAGAGAGGGAGCTGCCTGTCCCCAGGTGTGCCAGGCACTTCCCCTTGTGGTTCAGGCAGCAGCAGGATGCTGGAGTGACTTTTTGTTAAATCTCTCTTGGCCAGGGTGGGGATGGGCAGTGTGGCTTCCCCTTGCCTTGCAAGCAGCTTCCCCAGTGTGGCTTTCAGGATGAGTCTGTTGGCAGGGCCTTTGCTTTGATGCCAACTTTGACCAAAGTCCTATTTTTCATGTCTTTTTCTATGGGTTACACCTGCCTGTGGCTGGAGGGATCTTCAGCCATCTCCACCCTCAATCAGGTTACACTCTCACCCTGGTGATGCTTTTCCATCCACTAGATTGGGGTTGCTTGGTGCAACTGCTTGGAGCATCTGCATGCCCCATGCTGGGCACCAGATCCTGAGGGTCCTGAGCATCTGTGGGACTAGGGGCACACTGAGCAGGGCCTGAATCTCACATGGACCTGGCTGACCCAGCGAGGTGCCTGCAGGGCACAGCAGGGAGCCAGGATTTCCTTGGGCGCCTCCAGGCTCTCCTGGCCACGGGGCTGTCTCAGCAGTGTTTGTTCTTATTTGTTCTCTCTGTCTCTTAGCAGCTAAATTAAAACTTGTTGAATGGGAGAAGCGAGGGCTGTTAAGCCCTGGGCTCTTTTCTCTCTCTGCTCATGCAGAAACTATCACACACCAGGCACGAGACATGCAGAGGCAGGACCATGTTGGCAGGACCATGGCAGCACCCTGGTGTCCCCACTTTGAAGGACTTGGTGCTTTCCTCTCTTTCAGGAATCTCCTTAACCCAACCAACCTCCCCGAGCTGCTGGCACAGGGGGTTTGTAGCCACAGCGATGTGGGTTGAGTCCCCACTTGCTCATCAACTCCCATGTCCCCAGGGAGGACACACTGTGATGTGTCACTTGGTCATGCTGATGTCTCACTGTCCCCTGGGGGCTGTGGAACATCCCTGGTAGCTCCTTTTAGAGTTGTGGGGTCACCCCATGACCATGTCTGTGAGAGGGAGGGATGTGCTCAGTGGTGGTGGTGGAGGGACAGGCACTTGTGCCCCATAGAATTATAGAATTTTAGGGGTTGGGATGGAGCTTAGAGATCATC